AATCTGGTTAGCGATTATTCAGAAGAATATATAACTAGGTTTCGTAGGGAAGGAAGGGGCATTCACAAAATGGCATACAGAGATTAGATTAATAATTCAAATGTAAAAGTTTTCAAATTCACTACAATTTTAATAGGCTTAAGGGCCAAAAAGATAATTTTCATATTACTCTTGCAAATTTGGCCTCTTGTATTTTTAATCTTTTAGGTAAATACAGTGCATGCAGTCACTTACCTATGAGACTGGTTGTTAAAGTGCAGTGTCAGTCTAATAGAATTGATATTTAATGATATCTAAAGAGATTAGGAGTTATAAAAATGTATTATCTCCTTTCCTGCAAACCACATATTTAACGTGCAAAAGCTGCCAACAGCTTAGATTTGCACAAAGCATCAATACTTATGAAAATTAAGGGAAAGAGATCTCAATAGCAAATCTTCAAATTACCTGATATTTGGAATCATACCTTTGTGAGAGATTTTGTTTTTCTTTAAATGCCGAAAAGAAAGAGAGGAAGATTTGTAACAAAATTAGAAAAAAATCAATAATAAATAGCGATAAGCGAGCTAGGCAAGTCACATGGGTCCGAGAACCTCCCAAAACTTAGCTGCCAGCAATGTCACTCTCCCCCCAAGTAGGGCGGGGGGAGGGCGGCTTGGGGGGCGAGGCATGCTGGCAACTGACATAGCAATAAGTAACAGTTTGGAAGGTCACAGTAACAGCCTAAAGTAAGTAGGCACACAGTCACCACAGCTCCTACACGGTTCTTTACTATACACACTCATTGGCGCCGTTCCTTGTTCAACGGCGCGCACTCTCTAAGTCTAGTATTTTCTCTCTTTTTTCTTCACCAAGATATGTAGAAATAATCAGAAATATTTGAAACACTGTCTGGGCTGATTTTAGTCTGCCTTCACCACTTTGACAATATAACAAACTTCACACGAATTACAACGTAGACTTTCATAACATCACCTTAATTACCGTTACAATGGGTTTCTAGAAAAACAAACGTTTAAACAGATTAACTTGTAACTTTGAATGGAACCTCAGTTATCCAGGTTGAGATACTAGGATGCTAAGATCTTTTATCAGGGCCAGATTGATGTAAGAACCTATTGATAATGTCTGATGTCTTGGGTTAGGTGCGCTGGCCTCTCATAAGCCTCTCAACGTTTCATATGCACACACACACACACACACACACACACACACACACACACACACACACACACACACACACACACACACACACACACACACACACACACACACACACACACACACACACGTGTATATATATATATATATATATATATATATATATATATATATATATATATATATATATATATATACATATGTATATTATGTATATACATATATATGTATATACATATATATATATATATATATATATATATATATATATATATATATATATATATATATATATATATATATATATATATATACACACACACACAGGCTTAGAAGTCAGGTCAGCAGCACCGCATATATCCTCAGGAAAATGGTCTTAATCAATTCCTCCGCAAATTAAGCGCAATGTCTGTGGTCGGAACTATCTCTCCAAGGATCGCACCTGAATCCAAACAGTCCACTGCCACGCTCTGAAGTCACTAGCCAGATACTAACATTGCAAATTGTGAAATAGGTCTACCACCACAAACAGTTCATCTTTTACAGGACAATAAAACTGTCTACACTTTGAAAGAGGAGTAAAACAAATACTGACCAGGAGAACTGAGACTCCTAAAATGGCACTTGTCTAGCATGTACACTGGAGATGAGGCCTCGAGGTGACAGCTCTGTTCTGCCAAATATTTACATGGTTCAAGGCAGTGACTAATATTCTTTCTGCTGCCTTGTGACTACACGATGAACCTAATTCCGGTGCACTCGGCACCGAGAGCTCAATACCAGAGTATTGACATGAGTGTAACCACCACCACTAGAAACTTTAGAACATAGTAATGAGGACGTGAAGGCATCTCCATTGTTGTGGAGGTCACGGTGGTGTTGCGGCTGAGAGGAAGCCAGGCCGCCGAACAGCAGCGGCTTAGAGCACGGTCGGCGGAGGTCACGTACAAAAGTGGAAAGTTGTGACGGGTCTGTTCAGAGGTAGCGAGAGCGAGTCAGGGGCAGTGGCAACAACAGGCAAACGAGTAACGTTAGCGATGATTGTGGCGGTGATGGAGATAACATTTCCGAAAGTGAAAGAAGGATATGCAGTAAATGCAGTTATTAAGAAATCGAAGATGAAGGTGCTGATGAACATGGCTGAACAGATGATTGAAAACAGTGGCGAAGCAGACTGCAATGAGCACAGACACTTATTCGAGCACTGGTTGCTATCTAGGCTTAAATATGAGTAGTTTGAGTAGTAACCAGACAACAGGACTCACGCTCTGGAGCTGATGAACGTCAGTCTACAGGCAATAGTAAACCCATCGAGAGAGACGCTCCCGATAACCGGGCG